TCCATCTCTTCTCCCCTCCTCCGCTCTCTCGCCCTCGACTTTCGCACGCGCGTCCCGTTCGCATTTGCTCGCGGAGACGAAGCGCTGGTTCGTTCGCACGCGCGACTGGATTTGGGTCTAGACATTCCCACTGCCGAAGATCTTCCCGTGCTGGTCATCTTTCCAGCGCGCAAAGAAGGTCAGGATTTCGAAAAGGGCAAATTCGAAACGTACGAGGGCAAATTGGCATATGCGCCCCTGAAAAAGTGGCTCGATCACGTCGCTCCAAAGTTGGGTGCCATGGATGAAAGAGAGGCCAAGCGCGTGGCTAAACTCAAGGAGAAGCAAAAGGCTTCCGACAATAAGAAGAAGAGCGCAAAATCGGAAAAAGCTCAAAAGGCGGAGGAGGAGCGACAGAGGAGAGCTGCTGTGAAGAAGCAAGCTGCCAAGGAGCAGAAAGAGAGAGAAAAGGAGAGGGAAGAAGCTGTCAAGGCTTCCGGCGGCAGCAGCAGTGCGGACGAGCAGCTTCCAGAGGGAGCAACGTACGAGTGGAAAGCGGTGAATTCGGATCCGAAGAGCAAAAGGAAGGGCAAGAAGCTTCCAGTGCCTGTGAATGTGAGGGACGATGAGGGCAACATTGTGGATACGGTCGAGACGGATGAGGATGCTCAGCGCCTATTGGGACGTGCGGGCGAAGGCAGCGGAATGTTGGACAAGGACAGAGCAAGGCAAATGATCCTCGATATGCAGCGCCAAGCGGAGGAGACGGAAAGGCGCAAAGCTGCTCCGGAAAAGCAACCTGCGGATGGTTGGAAGTTGCACAAGTCGTCGTCAGATGACTTTCCACCAGTCGAGGAGCAAAAGGACAACATCTTTGACTCGGCTGCAAAGCTCGTCAAACAGGCTGCCGAGGCTGGAAGCGAAGCTGCTGCTGATATTTTAGATGCTGGAGCCGAATTCGTGGAAGCGGCAGCTTCCAGCGGCTCCAAAGTGGTAGAGTCGTTGGCCGAAAAGTTGGGCAGTGCGGGCAAATTGGAGGGCGATGAGACGAGCGGACCGTTTGCGCGCAAGCGCAAAGCTCTGTTGAAATCCTTTGAGAGGTGGATGACTTCGGAGCACAATGATTGGGCAGAGACGTATGGCGACGAGTTTGCAAAGGCGCAGAGGGAAGCTGAACAGCTTGCCCGCGAAGATCCTCAAGAGGCCGAAAGAATGGCTTGGCAAAACGAAGCTTGGCTCTTGGAGGAATTGTCGGCGGATAGGGACAAGATGAAAGACGTCATGAGCCACGATCAGTTGGCAGAGGTGGACAAGATGATCGATCTGGTCAAGAGCAGGCTGGAAAATAGGAGAGCGGTAGCTGGAACGCATGATCCACCAGCTTCGAAGAAGGACATACCGTCAGCGGACAGTGAGGCCGCAAAGCATCAAGGCTCACAGCATCATGATGAGCTGTAGGAGGCTGCTCGCTGGTCAGATTGTGCATTCCTTCAGAGGTTCGGTCATCCATACGTAACCCTCGGGGAAAGAACCGAACCGCAATCTATCAATTGATCAACCGATTCTTACCGGCTATGATGGTCTTGGTCGCATCGATGAAAGTGTGTGTGCGACCTACGATACGAGCATGGGCAACATCGCGCGGGTGTCTTACTCATTGCATTCGGAACGCTAGTGTACGGTGCCAAGAATCACGCGAAGGGCAGCGGGGAAAGGTGTCTGCGAGCAAACGCAATGACAAAATTTCCCAACAGCGCTCATTCGTCGTCGAGCTGCATGACCGAGCGCACAAAGACGAAAAAGGCAAAATTCATCAGCTTCACGTCGTACGAAATAGATTTCCCTGTGCATCTCACCTCGACTGAAAAGCTGGTGATCTGGGGCAAGTAAGCGCAAGCGGCCAAATCGACGTAGTACAAATCGTCATAAATCTCCTTTCCGTCGAAACCGCCGTGAATAAAGAGCCGAGAATCTCTCAGCCACGCTTGGTGATAGCCTCGACCCGGCGGTTTCCTGCCGCAAACACGACGTGGCTCCCACTGCAGATTGACTGCAGAAATTTCGCGACGAGCGATGGTGTCAAAAGAGCGCTCCATGACGCCTGACTTTTGCACGTAGCACAGCACACAATCGCTGTAGCTTTCGCACTCACCTAGATTCAAGGTGAGGATTTCTGGTGTATAGTTGTGGCTGTTGTGCCCACCGATGACGAACAAGTATGAGCCTACCTGCGTGGCAGTGTGTCCTAGCCGATTGTGTATCTCGTCCGTCTTGACTTGATACCACACTTTCGTGTCTGCGATGCGCAAAAGGGACAACATCAGCCTCAACCAGCCCCAATGAGCACATGCAGGCACTCACCAAGACGCAGAATGTGGATATCGTTGAAGCTCATGTGCCCATCGCTACCGCCAATGACGATGAGCTTGCCGTCAATGAGGTTGCTGGTGTGGTAACCTCGTCCTATCGGAATCTTGCCCTGACATTCGACCTTTTTCCACTCCAGCCTGTCCATGTTGCCAATGTCGAGCGCAAACACATCGTTGAGCGCACCAACACCATTGCCACCGCCAAAGATGAGCAACTGACCATTCCAGTAGTTGCTCGTATGCGCACGGCGTGGAGACGGTGCCGTGCCAGAGACTACCGGCTTGGACCACCTCAACGACACGGTGTCGAAGACATACAGATCATTGTAGTAGTGTGGTCCATCGCCACCCGCAAAGACGAAGAGTCTTCGATCGACCATAGTCGCGCTATGAGCGCGTCTGGGGGGCGGAAGGTCCCCAGTGACTTTCGGCTTGGACCAGCACATGGTTTCTGTCAAGACGAACACGGGCGTGAGCTAGGCCGGAAAGCAATGGACAAGCGCCGCTGATCAATCTCACCAGTGTCGAAGCACCAAAGGTCCCGAAAGCAACCTTTCGAGTCGCATCCACCAAACAGCCACAGTACTTCATCAGCTAGACTGGCTGTGTGAGCTCTGAAACTTCTTCGGGGCACGGATCCATGCACGGGCGCTTTGGACCAGTACATGGCTGGCGGCGGGGCCGCAGTGAGACCGGGTGCGCTGGGCAAGGCTGGTAAAGCTCTCGAAGACGACTGGGATTTGCTAGCAGAGTTGACGACTGCACGATCTCCGCTCGTTGTTGCAGCTTCAGCAATCCGCGTGCTCCCTCCTTGACGCGAAGTCGAGCCTGCTGTAGTGGTTCTCAGAGTACTGGTAGCGGACCTGGTGGCTCCGCTGCGCGAGGCGTTACTTTGCGCAGCATCAGTCGAGCTCTCGGCCCCTCCACTCCTGTGTTCGCGTCGGATCGAGCCACCAGCGGCGCGAGCAGACCGGGAGGCAACCGTCAAGTCTGTGGTGCCGGCGGGTGCTGATGCCGGTGGTGCGCCTGCGCTACCGCCCACAAATGCAGAGTTGGCGACCTGCGCTCCTGGGCCGATAGTGGCAGGCGTGCTGGTAGCCGATACAGGAATTGCTCCTGCTGATCGAGCTTCGGATGTTGTCGCGGTGTACGCGCCTGGTAGCGTGGTGTTCTTCGAGTGCGAGGCTGCAAAGGAGGCCTCGTGCTGGCTGCTTGGGCCACCTGGTCCTGCTGCGGGAGTATCCATCACTGTTGATGCGTCGTGGGCCTTGGAGTTGGTAGGCGCTGTTGAGCGGGAAGGACCATCGCCCGAGCTGGCTTGATGAGCGGGGGTCGATGTGCTGGGTGTTCCACTTTCTTCAATTATCGAGCCGACGACTGGTAGCGGCCGTATACGAGCAGAGGAAGAGAAGGCTTCCCTATATGAGTCGTGCGTCGCTTCAGCCCCGTCTATAGAGCCTTCAATCTCGCCTTCATGAGCGCTCGCCATTTCTTCCTCTTCCTCCTCTTCCTCCTCTTCCCCACGAGCCATGCCGTCGAGCTCGTCTTCGGCCTGCTCATCCAGCCCAGCTGATGGTTCTGAACGCGAACTGGTCGCTAACCTGGTGTCGTTGGACCTGGCAATGGCTTGAAGATTCGAAGGCTTCGACACGCGCGTGCGCACGGCGGTGCTTGATGCGGATCCAAGACCACTCGAACTGCTGGATGCGGTCAGCGTACCTCCGAACGAGTCTTTGTGGCTCAGGCGAGTAGACCGCGGTGCTGATGGCGATCCAGCGTGACCCAAGGGACCCTTGCTGCTGCCTCTCGCAGATCCTAGAGGAGGCAGCTCGGAGATGGCACCCGAAGGACTGAAGGCTCCCAGCGCGACTCTTGATCCGCCAGAGGAGTCTGTCGACTCATTGCCCAGCAGCTGCCCGTACTGATCTGTCCTGCCAGCAGTAGATGACGACGACGAAGCAGAAGGAGGTGTCATGCCGATGACTTGCACACCTCCCAAATGACCTTGAGAAGCGCTGCCGCTGCCGCTGCCAGACGTAGAGCTTTGACTCGGTCCAGTGCTGGGAGCTGGACTGGTCATACTGTTGACAGCAGCAGCAGGCTGAGGCACCGATAGAGCAGGTAGAGGCGGTCTGTTGGCAGCTATCACAGAGCTGGATCTCGCTCCAAAGTCGGGCGAATAAGAAGAGGATACAGATGTGCTGGTGGATGGGCGAGAGTGAGGGCCGAGGTTAGTAAAGGAAGAGGTTCGATGAGGAACGGCCGTGGGCAGGATGGGCGATGCTGCTTGCATCGACCCTGGCAAAGCAGCGTTGGCTGCAGACGATGGAGATGAGATCTGAGATCGGGCAGTCGTGGACAATGTGGGAGCCTGAAGCACGCTCTTCCCTCGCTCGCTATCGCCAGGCGTGATCGGATCGGCGCTAGCGGCATCCATTCCTACTGCTGCAACCTGGCCTCTACGTGGCCTGCGCGGACTCCACTGCTCCTCAGCGCGACGCAAATACCCGCTGAATGACGAATATCGAGCCCCTTGAGAACGGGATAGCTGAAGCTTGAGTCTGGTCGAGATTTGTATGTGTGGGAGTGATCATCAAGAAGGTGTGACGAATATCAAATCACAGCCAAGCGTTGCATCACGAAGTCAAGCTCTGAAATTATCCAGTCACGAGCGTTCAAGCTGCGCGCGCGTCTCAATCAAGAATCAAATCACAATCCTCATCCAAGCCTATACGGTACCGGTACCGGTACATCGTACGGTGGTCGTTGCGGGGGCGCAAGCGCGCACAGGCGCACCAATTCGTCAATTAGCGCGCGTCGGTTCAGCTAGCGGATCGAGCAGCAATTTTGCAATCTTTCATTGCATAGCGTTCAATCACGAATGTTGAAATGTTGATTAAGACAAAAGCATCGTTTTGTTTTGACTCGAGCTCTATTTTTGACTTGAAGTAAAGCATGGCATCAATAATCAAATTCAGTCTTGAATGGTGGATATGAATGGCTGGTCGCACGATGGGCCGCGCGGCGTGGTACTAGGTTCGTGCATTTTGATTTTGAGTGTGCGCTCTCTATATAGTCTCTGATGTACGGTGGATATCGGATCGATGCTGAGGTGTTTGATTGTATCCGTGACAATAATAACCCAATTCGTTGTACGCCACCGTCATCAATGGGGGGTGCAAATCTTGAGATGGATGGCCGGACTGTGCCCAATTACAAGGTGCCAACGAGAGATCGACGAGCCTCGCGCATCATCATGCTTGAGGGGCGATGGACAAGCTTCTAGTGTAGACCATCTTGGCAATGTGAGCTTCCCTTTTGGCGTGTTCTTCTGCTGCAGCAATCTCTTGAGCGAAGCTGGACCGCTTGCGGATGTTGGATCCGAACCAAAACAGGATGGGAGGCACAAAAGCCAAGAGGACAGCGATGAAACCCAAAAGAGAGGATGCCCATTGGTAGCCCAGGTTGTGGTACATGGGCTCAGCCACCAGAGTAACGCTTCCGGAAAGGATCTCTCTCAAAAGGCTCTGCGCTCCGACGGCCGAGGCTGCAAAGGGACCGTACGCATCGATGGTGTAATCCGAGACCGCGATGAAGATGATGTGACTGGATACGCCAAATAGACCCGCTGCTAGCGTCGGCACAATCCAATGAATCGACGGTATGCTGGTCCATGCAAACCAGAACAGCGACCCGGCAAAGAGCACACCTCCTGGAAGACTCCAAGCTAGACGCGCTTCGGGCAGCAAGACTCCATTGTTGCGGGAGCGCGAACGACGCTCGTACGCCATCTGTGTTGGGTATCCAAAGTAGGCTATTAGGAATCCAATCAGAACTCCCAGGAACGGCAAGCCTTGGGCGCCAATGCTGAAATTGTACTGGCCGTAGATGAGTGCGAATGCCTCGAGAAAGAGGTATACGATGGCGTAGCTGCAAAGGACAGCGAATGCATCGCCGTCAGCTTATGTGCGCCAATACCTCTCGGCTTCTGTGCACTCACTTGAATCCATCAAATAGGGCGAACCAGAATACGATGGGCTCGGTGAACAGCATGAACAAGGGTCTGGTGACGGTCTCCCTAATGAGAACAGCGGCCGTGTGTGCTTTCCTGTCCTCTTCATGCTTGGCAAACCATCGGTCGTCACCCGTCTCTGACCGTTTGCGCTTGGCGCGCTTGGCGAGGATGATTCCCGCTCTCGTCTCTGGGACGCCGAAAAAGTATAGGACGATCAGGAGAGCCTGTACCAGACCCAGCAGGCCAAAGATCCATCTCCATCCAGCAGCCTCGAACAAGTAGCCGCCAATCACTGGCCCAATGACTGCCCCTGCTTCGGCAGATATGGCAAACGTGTTGACAGCCCAGCCTTGATTGTCTGCCTCGAACAAGTCGTTGATCACACCAACCGAGGTGAATGCCACGCTTGCCACGAAGCCGGACAAGAGTCGGAATGCGACCACAGTGGCAAAGTTGGGCGCCAAGGCACACGGGATCTGAAAGATGGCCAGGAGAAGAGAAAATCCAAAGACTGTCGGCCGACGTCCATAGTCTTCCGAGACGGGTGTGGTCACCACAGCGCCGACAGCGAAGCCGTACAGAAAGACCGCTTGCGTGACGCGAGCCTTGGTGACCGAAACGTTGAGATCGCCAGCCATCCCTTCGATTCCAGGAGCGACCATTGAGGAGGCTATGCGGCGGACGAGTAGGTGAGTCGGCTTCAGCTCACACACTCAGCACATCGCTCAACTTGCGCGATCGCAGTACTCACCGACGTTTGCCCATGTCTCCAGCGCAAATGCAATGCCTAGGATAGACCATTTCCGCCATATACCAAGGTTCCTCGGATCTTCCTTGTCGAGATACTAAAGGTCAAGAATGTCCGACAGGCAATCAGCAGCTTACATGCAGCATTGGACATTACATCGCTCGTCTAAGTCGAGCGTGCCCGCTCATTGAAGTGAGACTCACCTCGAAGCTGACGAGGTGCGGGTTGCGCTTCTTGCGGGCTGGAAGTCCGACATCTGATGATTCTGTCTTGACATCGTTGGCACCATCTTCGAGCTGGCTGCCCACAGCGTCCTCCACCGCATCAGGAGACCTTCTGATCGTTCCATCGTTTCCATCTGCAAACGTAACGCCAGGTGGCGCGTCATCGTGAGACTGATCGAGCTGCTCTTTCTTCATATTGGAAGATTGCAAGTGATACAGCGAGTTGACCGTCGTGGATCCGCCATTTGGCGAGGCATCGCGACTGGGCGACGCTGCAGTGCGTGTGGGGCTCACGGAGCTGTCTGGAACATGGCGAGAGATAGAGACCGCCCCTTGCCGCCCTCGTCGAGAGGAACTTGAGGAGCTTCGGGATAAGGACATCGTCGCGGGAGTGCAAGCAGCTCGATAGATGTCTGCATACAGCAGTATGTCTGCTTGGAAGGGTGCCGATCTTGTGAGGCGTGCTGCGCTTTAAAGATGCGAAAGGCTCAGAGGTCGACGCGATGTTTCCAAAATGTTTTCGAGATCAGCAAAGGAAGTTGAGGCTTGCGAGAATCGAGGAGTGGATGAATATTGTTGAAGCTATTTCAGTCTGGCCAGCCCATCACGATACCGTAGCCCAAAATTTGAGGGGCGAGCGAAGGTTGTTGAGGTCGAAATAGGGGGTCGAGAGATCGTGAATTCATCGAGCGTACCTTAAGGAGGGGTACCCGCGCCCTTTATGATAAATACCGACCCGACCATCAGCACGTCGCTGAAACCGCAAGGGTTTATAAGGAGCGAGCGCGTTTCGCCGCTCGCAGCTGCATGACCGATACGCTAAGCACGAGATCCACCGCTCGTTGCGTGCTCTCCACCTCTTGCTGCACTGCAGCTGCAGATGCCGCTGTGAACGTGTCGATTCGCAATTGCGCATAAATTCCGTCGGCTCCACATGCATTAATGGTCCATGACGGCAACCTTCTAGCCTGCTGTCCCACTGACGAGAGTGAGACATTCCCGCTGATGCCAATGGACAGTAGCGTCACAGTGCGAGTCGAACGCGTTGCCAGATTTGGCATCTTCTCAACTTTATTCGGCGGTTGCAAGGGCACGGGGTTCGGATGGAAAGCCTTCAACAAGATGAGCTGAAGTTCAGGCGCGCGCTCGACACCAGCTTACCGCCGCAAACCCCCTCGTGAAGCAGCTGAGATTCCCACACCACAGTCGAGCGTGCGCTGGAAGTCCATTCGGCGGATGGGCATTCCCTCATCGACATGATCGCGTGATCAAGATTCGCTGCGAGGTTAGCGAGCGGCAACTCACTCCGACTGCCGGCCAAAGTAACGGCGGCAGCGCTACGACCTGTTCCCCCGAGGTCCATCTCGTGTGTCACCCGGCAAAGGCAAGAGAATTGACGAGTGGCAGATGAAAAGCTAGAAGTCAAGCCAGACTTCTGTCGGTGTTGTGAAAGTGTCGGCCATTGTGAGGTAGCCTCTCGCAAGGCGAGCCGCGTTGCCGATGCTAGATCAGCAGGTGGTGCCGAAAGATGAGCATCGCACGTCATTGCATATATTGAGACCTGCTCTCATTGGTGATGCGACTTGCGAGGCAAGTGTTTGAGCGCTCAAAGATGATTTTATACAGGCGCTCTTCCGAATTGCCCCTTCGGCTCAGCAGGACGCACGCAGTCGGACCAAGAGCGCGAGAAGCGAGTGGTAGTGATACCGTCGGCACCTCTACCACGTATCTACACGCTATTCTATGAAGAGCCGTCGGCATGTATGAGCTAGTCGATTTCAGCACAGGCTTTCAGACCTGTAGCACCTGAGGACTTACGACTGCGACGAGGAGAATGGAATTCTGAGCGTTACGTAGGCCGACAACAACTAAAACATTACTTGGATCGGCCGCCGCAAGGACACAGCTCGAAGCGTGATCACTCTACCATGTGCTTGCACGACGCTACACGACCAGCAGAACGGGCACTTCCACCTACAACCTGCGCCAGTATATCGAGCCACTGCAACTCGCATGCCTCCATGCTCTGATAGCTTGGCCACGCAACACTCTGTCGCCGTTGAGGAAGACATCCGATAGTTGCGATGTGTATAGCGTACATCGAAGAGCTTTCGTGAGAGTCGAAGCACACAGCCGGTCGGAACCGCTCGAGTCGAGGCCGGTGGTCAGGAGCATTTGAGAGCGCCGCTTCTTTTGCGATCAGACGACGGCCCGGCGGAGAGCTGAGGTGTATGCACTTGAGGTCGACTGAACTCCTCGAACTTACAGAACCGCGCCGTTCCTGCTGAGACGCATCAAAAGTCGGAGAGCAGACTGGCAAGATGCTCGGCAATTTCGATCATCTCCTTGGTGCCGTGCGGTAACAAGGATAGAGATTGGAGCTGCTGTTCTCGAAGGGATTGCGCGTGCGAGTGCACATGACTTGGCGCACTCTTCGGCATGGGCGGCAAAGGAGGAGACGATTGAGATGCTGAAAGAGACGCAGGATGGGCGCTCGCCGGTGGTGAAGACATCATCACGGAGGCGCTGCCTAGGTCTCCTGCCATACCATGCATAGCGTTGTGGACCAGGACCGGATTCACATGCTGCTGTTGCGCGTTTGCGAAGCTTGCGCCTTGAGGTGTTGCAGAGACCGCGGCAGCGCGGAATGGATTGTGATCGATCCATGTCCGACTTGGCCAAAGCGGTGCAGGTATGAAGCCAGGAATGCGATGTTCAGCAGACCGCTGGTCGTACGCATCGACGGTGCGCTCAAGAGCAAATGCGAAGTACAATTGTGTACGAGAGAGAGTCGCGAGCCCGGCTCGACTGAACATCGAGGGGAGGCCGAAGTTCTTGGAAGGCGCTCTCTTCCAGTCCTGTACGTCGAGCTCGCTCCCACGCAACCTAGCTATGACGCTCTTGAGTAGGGCGATGTCTACTTGGCCAAGCGGATGTGCCCACTCGGTGTTCGAATGGGCGATTGACGACACGTCGGGCTTGCATTTGGCGAATTGATGACCTTGTTTGGCACGTGCTGCGTAACGGAAGGCGTCAGCTTCCAACACGACCAAAGCGGCAGAGGAAAGCAGCGGCAGAAACTCGGTTGGAGATGGCACACACAAGGCCATCGCACTTTCCTGGAAGGTCGAGGTGCTGACGCGGGCGAGAACATCTCGGCAAGCTAGCAACACACGTCGAGCCTCGTTGGCCATGTGTACGTGGACAGGAAGAGGAGAAATCTGTCGACTATGATCAGCGTGTAAAGGCGAAGCGTTTTCTCGATTGAAGTGATCGTGCACGTGTAGGGAGCCGTGTTGAGGTGCTGCAAGCCCAGCGTTCGAGCCGATGTGGCCTCTCTCCAATAGTGCGGCAGAGTCTGTTCCTAGCGGCCAGGGCCAGGCGCGGCTTTCGATTGCATATCGCAATAGCAGAACCTGAGCGCGCAGATTGGTCGCTTCCAACAGTGCTAACTCAACTAATGATTCCAAAGTACGCAGCTTGGGCCGACATGGTTGCCTCAACCCTCGAAGCTGGCTGTTCCACACGCCAATCCAATCCTCAAGTTCTTTGACACAGGCATCGAACATGGCGCTGTCGGATATGGATGAGGTGGTCCCGACGTTTGCCAGAAGCAAGTGCATCGTGCGCACGCATACGACGACGGAATCCCACATGGCGCATCGTCGCAGAAAGAGAGAGCACCTTTGAAGCGCTAGGCTTCGCTCCGCGTCCGGCATCTGGCGTCGATCTGCCCCGATCCTTTCCTGCTTTGCACCTTGCGTCGAAGGCTGGACTGTCTGTTGCGCAGAGGAAGCGGCCACCATCTTGTCGAGACATGAAGCGACGATCTCTGCCGATCCAGAGATTGGAGGCGGTGGAGAGTGCATGCGCTGGCTGGGATGTGTGGGCGAGATAATATCCAGAGCAGCTTCGCTGCGGGCGAGCTCGGACCACTTTTCGTCGAGCGTGCAAGGTGACCGAGGATTAGCTACCCAGCTGCACAGCATCTTCGCATCCGCACTCACTAGCATCATCATATCCAAACCACCCAGGTCCGCTTCGATACCTTCCCTGACCAGCCTGTCACATGCCATGTCGTACGCGGATGCCAAGATCGCGCCTGTCCTTGCGGACCTAACGAGCCTTCTAGGGCTGAATTCTGGTTTCTGCTCGAGGAATCCATCGTCGGGAATGAAGTGAAAAAGCGGCCGATCGTCCTTGGAAGACCAGTCTCTTGGCCAGAGCAGAAAGGTGGCGACAAATAGCAAGCCAAATATCGTCTCAAAGTCTAAGCCTGACGATGCTTCTGCTGTCAGTGCGAGGGAAACGGCCCAGTCGACATCACGCCGCAGCTCCCTGATTAGATTATCGATGTTCTTCTCGTTCGGTGCGGCGCCATAGATCAGCTCAGAGGGGAAAGGGCTGGTTGCGTGTTGCTGGAGCATGTGTAGCATCACGGCGTTATCTGCGAGTGTGCCTGCAGAACTGTTTCTCAAGAGATTGTTGACGCTGACGCAGGGCATGAGGTGACCATACGCTTCAGAAAAGCTTGCGGAGGGTGCTTCGCGAGATGTTAGAGTGCAAAGGTTCCATGTCATGGCCACGTGCGTTCTGAACTTACCAGTCAATGAACATGCTACGAAACGCCTGGGTGCGATTGATCATGAGTGGAATCGGTGCGGAAGGTGTGCTCGGCTGCGTCGTCATCTGCGGCGGACTCCACGCATCGGGCGGCAGCCAAGCAGGCGCGCTGCATTTGGGCTCAGCCTCGGCTTGGTGCTGCTCCGATAGGCCAGATATAGCGCGAATGGCACTCAGAGAGTCGAAAGGTTGGAAGATTGCTTCATGTATGCGGGCGTCTCGACCGAGCATCAACGCCAGACTCGATGCTGGCCATAGAAGCTTGTAGCGGCTGCAACGACCTTGCACCAGAGTTGGCCATGATTGATGGTGAAGAGGGAGCTCTGCCTGCACCACTGGAAGCGAGGCTAGCACCTGCTCGATTCTTTCCCCACATATCGGAGGACCGCCTTGAGGGATGATAGAAGCAGACGGAAAGCCAAAAGCAGCCGAGCTGGCACCCTGAATGATTTCGCCGTTCGGCGCCACGTGCAGCCAGGGGTGAGCAGGATTGGCACGCGCGGGTGAAAGAGCGGATGCAGTCGGTCTGTTGTGAGGGGAACCGGCCTGGCGGGCTTCTTCTTCCTGTGCTCCAGCGCGCTCCTTTGCCTCCCTTTCTTTCCTAATGATGTGCTCTTGATCCGTCTCGAAAGAGCACCTGTGACCAAGAGCAACGCATCTGACACAAGCCGCGGTGTTGGCGGCAGCATGGCTACGGTCGCATCGGCTCTTTGCCGTCTTGCACTTGACGCAATTTACCTTTTGAGCCTTCACCTTCGGTCGCTTGCTGGATGCTGTGGTGGCAGCGCTAGCAATACTTTCGTTGCTGAGGTCTGCCAGGGATGTCGCGACAGCTTGATGCGGATTGTGGTCTTGCAGGTGGTGGTTTCGATGAAGTTGAGGATGCATCGGCGATGCTGGAGGCATCGTTGGATTCGCCGCGGTGTGTCCCTGGACTCGCCCGACCGACATTGCTGGACTCGCCGCGGCAGTGGAAGGGACCGGCGCTTGCGGAGCCGCTCTCTTCTTCCCTTTTGGCTTGCTGGCTGCCTGGGGCGTCGGCTGCGCCGTCTCCGTCGCCGCAGCATGTGAAGACGGACTCATCGCCGCTGCCGTGTGATTGGAGGCTTCATCAGCAAAAGGAGACATGCTTGCCGGTCGTTTGGGCTGCGTACTGCGAAGCTAGACCGTCGATGCAGACGTGTCTGGTGGACTCTGCGCTGAGCTCTGCGCCCGCTCTTCCAGATGCTGAGGATTGCCAGCCTGTTGCAAAGGACCTTGCGTGCTCTGAACTTGTCTAGTCGCAAGCTAGCTAGGCGGGAGATCAGATGGCAAGAGAAATGTTGAGTTTGACTGCGAAAGATTCGCTGGAGCTTTTTGCACCGAGAAGGAAGGCGGGGCTGGCACGGCACGCTTCACAGCTGATGATCAATCACCACTACTCACGCTGTGCTTGCTATGCTGGTGAAGTGCTGCTTCATCACAGTAGACAGCGCCCGACGGCACGATGAAGTCGAAGCTGTATTGCTGCGACCCGAGCCTGCATCCCGACTGTTCCTGCTGAGTTTGCAGGAGCATCTTCAATGGCGCTGATCCCGCCTACCTTGAAGCTCGAGCACTTGAGCAGTCATCGCGGCGCTCTGTCGATGCTGTGCGAGGCTTCATTGATGGAGTGCGCCATCACCGCGGACGGTTTGAGACGACGTGTGTTCGGGCTGAAGGCGCCGCCGTTATATTGCAATGCCAGAAGGCAATCAAAATCTGCTTCGAATCAAGAGTGCCACTGTGCCAGCATGCAGCACCGCGGTGGCTGAGACGAGCCAGGTGTATATATCTGCGACTGATTGATTAGCTCGCCATCAGAACTGCTGCTTCTCCATGCTGCAAGGCTCTGTGTATGATGCTGTCTCAGTGGACGAGCTGTTGGTGACTCTGCTGAATGTTGCGTGATCAAATGAAAGAATTGTGGATATGAGTTGTGAGTATTATTATGTCCAGCAGCAGTCACTCGAGTTCGAATATCGTACATATATGTTGCTTCGTTCATGCCGATGATAAGAAAGCGCTTTAGTCTTGAGTCGTGAGTCATGATACTTGTGCATCGCCGATGGTCACCGATTGTGATCGTATGCAAATCATCACTGTAGGTCTGATGAGTCGGCGTGCAAAGAGCCCAGCGCTCTGTCGATTTGCTTGCCACTTTGACTCCCAGACGAATCCTGAATGGGACCCGACATACCGAGCTCAAGAAGTCGCCAGCGAACTCACTGCTCTCATGATCTGACACTCCATCGTGCCTGATTTGCATACATGCATACACATTCACGATTGTGATTCTGGACTTTATGTCCATTCGAGCAGCTTGCTTGAGTCGACCTGGAGTCCACCTGGGGTCTGGCTGCAGGTGATGTGCTCGCAGCTGCCAAGAAATGGCGTCCAAACGTGATCCAGCACGACAGTGACTCACACTGAGGATCGCAGCACACGCCCGCCCTTTCAGCTGACCGGATGAGCGAGCGCTTTTCAGCACATCAGTATGCCTTCTGCTGCTTCATGAGGACTTGAGATGTGCACTCGAAGACCTATTCAATTCGAGATATACAGCTGATGTTGCGGGCCAGGGTTCAGCCAACAGGAAGCAAGAGCTCGTCTGAAAAGCAACCATGCAGCAACACGCGTCCCAAATTTCTCCGTGAGGCTTGCCGCGGTCCTGCTACCTATAATCAAATGAATTCATGATTTGAAATCTGGAATCCAGAATGCGTGCGCATTCAAATTGGGGAGCTTGCACGTGACCGAATGCTGGCGCGCGAGGAATCACACGCAAACGGCCGACGCCGACGCGCTCGCTCGACGCTAAAATCCGGGGAGCTCAATATGCGACGTTTGTGCGCGGGTGTGCTGCAGATCGACCATCAGCGGCAGGCTTTGAAATCGGGGACATTTTGGCTGTTCGGGGCAGCAAGGGCGATGCTGAGACATCCTTCACCTCTCCTCGTACTGACAATTAAGCTGACCCTTGTGCAACAGCTTTGAACAGTCAAGTGCACTACTTTCCGCATCTTAGAAGAACGACAGCTCGTGCACACGACCCTAGAGAAGCGTCCCGTCCACTTGTGAAGAGCAGAACATCGGCATCTCAGCGACTTGTCAATTTCCCCAACGTCTCGATCACTCCAAGCAAGATGTCGGACGCCACGAAAGCTCTCGAGTCCATCATTTTAAATCCGGTCTATCACGACCCGCTCGCCGTCGTCAAAGTGAGTGCCGAGTATCACTTCGAGCCGTGGGGCGCCCGCGCAGCTGAGCGGTCTCCGCTTCCTCATCTTTCACCCAGGCTGCCCGAAATGGTCTGGTGTACGGAGCCAAGATCCGCTTCCCTCATGCGCTGGTCATGTCCATTCTCTTCGGACGCGGCTCGATGCAAGATAGGATGCGCTTCGTGTTCAAGGCGACCAAGCAGCACTCTTTGAACCTGTGCAAGTTCGCATCGCTGTACAAGGCTCTGACCATCCTTCTGAGACGCACCAACGGGGGCAAGCCTCGATCCCTAGACAGCTTCATTGGCGGTGTCGTCGGTGGCTATGTCGTATTTGGAGAGAGAAACGCTGTGAACGAGCAGGTGAGTGCGACTTGAAGGTTTGGGGGCGACCCACACGCGAGTGTCACCAAAACTTGGACAGTCTGGCTTTGCTTGCCCGGCTGGATTCTCGATACGGTCCAGGGTCTGATGCCAGCCGTAGGTCTCGAATTTTCGCTGACTGCTCTTTGTTGGCCCCAAATTGGCCTCCTTTGCCCTCAGATTGTCCTCTACTGCATCGCGAGAGTCGTTTCGGCTCTTCTACCACGCGAACCCGTGGCAGAAAACTGGCCCTCGCACAAGCCGATCCCAACAGACTCAAAGACATTTACCATCTTTGCTGGGCTGGTATGGGGAGCGGTCATGTGGACTTTCGACCAAAGGAGACAGACGCTCCAGAATGGTCTGGTCAACTCGATGGACTGTGAGTCCGAGGCGTTGTTAGCACGCGCTTCTTCCAGCATACTGACCGCCCTTCTTGGCAACGCAGACCTTTACATCAATGCGGAAAAGTGGAACAGGTGAGGGTCTTTGGTGGAGGATCGGTGCTGTATGGCTGCACTTATCATCTCCTGACACGCGGCTGTGCTCGACGCACTCCAACGTCTCATCCTCACAGTCTGCGAAACTTTCTCTGGCACAACGCATAGGCTATTTCAGCTGGACATTCTCATACGCCAGGATTGCAGCAGCAAAGCAGCATTGCACGGTACATGTACGCTCCCTTCGCAGTCAAGGATCTTTCAACGCAGTGCCTCCGCGGTCCCGCGAAGGAATCAGAGATCTTTGGCTGCGAGAGAGTCAGTCTACGCATGCAGGCCTCCCATCACCTTCAACCTACCTTTCTCTGTCCCCTGGATCCTGCTTGAGGGCTCATCGCGCTCAAGGTATAGCACAGTGCAATATGGAACTCAGTGTCCAAGATCGGAAAAGTGTGAAGCGAGCAGTGGAATGAGAAATGCAATTCTTGCGCAGCATTCACATTGAATATGATGGGTGAGTTTAGCTGTGTAGACACCGCGGCATGCATATCCTACTCGACCCGCCCTTCATGGCCGCTGGGATGCGGGGCTGAAGCTTGCGCTTGATGGCTGAGAAGGAAGCGTATATGCTGTATAGTCACCAGCAGTGAGTGGATTGATTGACTGTGGCTGCGGGCGCGGCCGAAGTTGATGCACGAGGTGGGAGCATAGAACAAAGAGGCCATCACAGGTGCACGGCAATATCAGCAGATTGATTACACACTCAACGCGTCCCCAGCAAATCATTCGGGATATACTGATTCGCTCATGCGTTCGTTGAAGGCACACCGCGGAGCTCTTGAATTGACGCCGTCGCGAGTTGCGACCCGCTGGTCTTTCATGCGCGGCTATATGATAGATAGATATATACTCCTCTATAAGGTCTTCTGTGCTCAGCCTTTTCTTTATTAGCACGCGCTCACCGCGACAACATACAAGATGAGGCCTCCAATCAGTCCTGACTCGCTCGCCATGCAGTCACGAACTCCGAGTGATGCGGCGATCAAGTCAGCGTGCTCGTCAGCAAGCCTCCCAACAGGCAACTCAAGTCGGTTCTCGGACGCTATGCGGCTGCAAGCTGACTTGGCGTTCGGCGAGTCCAGCATACGAATCGTGAGTATCAGTGTGAGTCACAAGCGCCTCATGCATCGATTTTGAAGCGCGATGTGTGACTCAGTGACTCATGTCCGACTAATTGTCTGCGGCGCCAGGGCTGATCGCACATATACGTCAGTGCATCGCATTAGAGCGGTCGGTTCGAAGACCGGCAAGCAGCATCCGCGGATTGGCAGGTGGGACAAGGCAAAAATGGCGCTGCCGAGCAGAGTGGCGGTGGGGTCGTGAGTCGTGAGTCGTGAGTCGTGAGT